TTTTATTTAAAAAAATAAAAGAACGCTTATTGCGGCATAACTATAATAGTTAGACATATGCTGTCGCGACACTTTTTGTAAATAATAATGTGTTCTACAAAGTCGTAGTACATTATTTTATTCTATGATCAATAGTTTTCGCAGGGCACGCGATGTAAAGAATATTTTAGGTATTTATTTTACACCTTGGATTATATTATTGGAGTTTTAGTAAGGATCCCTATTTTTTTTCAAAAAAGATTATAGCCTATGTCACTCGGGAATAGTGTAGCTTTGAAACAGTGAAAGAATTTTTCAAATCGGTTCAGTAGTTTCGGAGCTTATTCAATACAAACAAACAAATCTTTCCTCTTTATAATATTACTAGCGACCCGCCCTCGCTTCGCTTCGGAAACATTAAAACACACATGAAACCAAAAAAATAAAATAAAATAAAAAATAAAAAAAAGTAGCCTATGTTCATCAGGGACAATGTCGGCTTCTAATGGAAAAAGAATTTTTCAAATCGGTCCAGTAGTTTCGGAGCCTATTCGAAACAAACAAACAAACAAATCTTTCCTCTTTATAATATTAGTATAGATAAGTATAAGTATAGATAAATACTTTTAAGTTTTTCTTGCTTCGGAAAGCGTTTGTGTTTTTATTATTATTTAAGACGCTTTTCTTAGCTTGGTACGTTTTTTAATGGCATATCTGTCATTTTCACTGACATCAAGATGTCCGATTAGCTGGAAAATTAAATTTGCACACCTATCAACTGATGAGAATCTAATAGTTATAATACATAACATTGCTCTAATATTCTGAACAATATCAAGAGGATAAAAAAAAATTGAAATTAATTGTTAGTTTGGTTCACCATTAAGTTTTTAATATGTGTACATATGTTATTAAAAATAGCTTTTAGCTATAGTAAACTAATAATATACTTAACAACCCCTTTATTTTATTTCAATTTATTTTTTCCTGCCCTCCCAGTCATCTGGGGTTGGCGTAATATGTTTTCTCCGTCTATACTCCTCTATTGTATACCATTTCTTCTTACATATATCGTCTTTATATTTCTATAAAATTAGAATCCAGTATTACCGATTCAGTCAACCCTATCAAACTCGGACTTGACTAAGCCGTTAGAATATAGTTATTAAGCCATGAAGAGGTCCGGTCTTCTAGTCTCACAGGAAATTAATGGTTTATAGTAAATACCTAAACGAGAGATCAGGGGATATGATGCAGGCGTGTTCTTAGCAGGAATTAGCTTAAATTGATTTACTAAAACTATACATATGACGTCTCATCATATGCTACTTAATGGAACAGCTCTATTTTGTTCGTCTATACTAATACTAATACTAATAATATTATAAAGAGGAAAGATTTGTTTGTTTGTTTGTTTCGAATAGGCTCCGACACTACTGGACCGATTTGAAAAATTCTTTTTCCATTAGAAGCCAACATTGTCCCTGATGAACATAGGCTACTTTTTTTTTAATTTTTTTTTTTTTTTTTGGTTTCATGTGTGTTTTAATGTTTCCGAAGCGAAGCGAGGGCGGGTCGCTAGTTGTACTTATAAAAGTGATTGTCTGTATCATAAAGCACGTTTAGATATTAATGTCGATGGTAAGTAGTTCATCTACAAATGTGTCTTTTCTTTACATTCAAATACATACGATCGGCTCCCTGTTGTATGAGCACTGTTGTTTTTTTATTTATTTTTATTGCTTAGATGGGTGGATTGCTTGGCTATAGGAAAAAACTGAATCGTGAAACCTTGGATAGGTCCGAAATACGCCCAATGACAAGAGAAAAGTTAACGAATTTATATATTGTATAAAAAAAAAATAGAACTAAAAATTATAATTAACCCTATAATGAAATTTTACACGGGCGAATTGATTTTTTATGGCCAACGTATGGATAGAAGAACTCACAGCCCACCTGGTTAAGTGGTTACTGGAGCCCACTAATTCTACAGGCCAATTGGATAAGACGGTTCAACCATACTTAACCAATCAATTAGAATTGACGACCTTAAATATTTTTTTTTCTCTAACGATCGAGAATTCTTAATATCACTGGCAAAGAATACTTACAATCGTCAATAGAACCCAGAGTATCTGGTATAGCAACGAAACTTGTTAGCTGCTAACTTAACTAGGCTATGCGAAGACTGCATTGCAATAACAGTATTTTATTACCCTGAGAAATGGAGAGCGTAACTGGTTCGCGGTGGGAATAAAGACAATTCACCATATGCTTACACAGCGTCGACTAAAACCACCAGTGGGCTTTTTTTTTATTGGGACGAGCGCTCACAGCCCACCTGATGTTAAGTGGTTGCTGGAGCCCATAGAAACCTACAACGAAATGCGCCACCCACCTTTAGATATAAGTTCTATCTCAAGTATAGTTATAACGGCTGCCCCACCCTTTAAACCAAAACGTATTTCTGCTTCGTGGTGGTACCTACCCGCGCGGACTCACAAGAGGTCCTACCACCAGTAACATTTATTTAGGCTTACATAAATATTTTGTTTCCTCCCTAATAGCTTAGGATTATTCCAGCTAGACTATGTATATAGAAACTTCATTAGGATTATCAGTTAGAATGTAGATAGCAGTGAAATTTTAATTATCCGCCAAGTTGCAATGCGGTTCAAATTGTAGACCCCAAATTGCGAACAGTTCATGATGATATTTTTTTGATAATTGATCTGTGAATGAATATACACATAATTTTCTTACTAATGGTAGGAGTCTTGTGAGTCTGCGTGGGTAGGTACCACCGCGCTGCCTATTTCTGCCGTGAAGCAGTAATGCGTTTCGGTCTGAAGGGTAGAGCAGCCGTTGTAACTATACTGAGATCTTAGAACTTATATCTCAAGGTGGGTGGCGCATTTACGTTGTAGATGTCTATCGGCTCCAGTAACCGCTTAGCACCAGGTGGGCTGTCAGCTCGTCCCCCTATCCAAGCAATAAAAAAAAAGAATAGTAATGAATTGGTAGATATATGTATATAGATTTAGAGGTACAATAATGAAACTTCGAACTCGTGTTTTTAGTGAAGGGCAGCGTTTGTTACTCGAAAAAGAACTCAATTATGTCGGAAATTAGCTCGCTTTTTGACATAAAATTAAATTCATTAATTAAATTAATATGATATTTTACAATAAAAGTAATTTAAGTAGTGCCTCTGATTCCCGAAAACCCTAATACATACCACATCTACTATATTTTAAAATAAGAATTTACTTGAGAAAAACGTCCGCAAAAGAGGAAGTTTTAAAAAAGACATGTGTAATCCGGTATGTTTTGTCGCGTTTGTTCCTAACAACTAATCTAAAGCCCGAGAGAGATAGAGATATATATTCTTCATCCCGTTGCGCTGAGAATAACTCCTACTACAGTCACTGAAGTGTTAAAAATAAATATCTCTGCCCGTACTCAAGTTTAAATGCACATATTTTGAGCACGAGGTACCTAAAAGCTATTTGAAACTATTTTTCTAAACGTTTTCTCGTAATTTTCTAATTGGGTGATAAAACGCATGTAAAGTGTAGTAGCGGAGTGTGACCCACGTTGAGACATGAGGTTGAAATCTCAATTGTACTTTAAAACAGCTATCACTCTTCTCTCCCTCTCCTTCTCTCTTCGGAAAGCCTAACTGCTTGTCAGCGGAAATAGGCAGTATCGTAGGTGACATTCAAATACTTGGGTAACCTTGGGAGTGGATTAAAAATGGACTGACTGTCTGTCTGACTGTCTCAAGAAACAATATTTTGACAATTTTTTTTCCTACTTAAGCTTATGGTCTAGAGTCTAGAGATACCATGTCAGCGTCGCCAGGGTAGTAAGTGAGCTCACGGGGCTCAAACCTGAAGATGTTGCTAAAACTGGCACTAGCAAGAGCCGTGCTTCGCAGAATCTACCACCGGATCGGAAAGGCGACCCACTGAGAAGATCCCTTCGTTGCAAGCGACGGGTTCGACGAGAACGGTGACCGGTTTTGACAATACGGAGTCGTTGTCGAGTTTAGAACCGATAGTAACGCGATGAGTCTTACTCCATACCATTTCCTACAACTACGTGTATAAACTGCAGTTGAATTTACCGTCTTTTGCAACGATATAAAATGATTTATTCATGCACGCCTCATATACCAACAGCGTGTTTGTGTTTGTGCATCGCTTATATAGTTATGAGACTTAAAAATACACTTCACGCTTAAATAATGCACACGCCTTCTCAAAGTCGACATTGTGTATCGTTCCGAGGTAATTTTGTTTGTTTTATCAATAACTAGCTTTTGCCCGCGACTCCGTCCGCGTGGAATAGCTACTTTGGTATAACGCTAAGTTTTACGCCCAACTTCATTTACGTAGAAAGAGAAGATATTTTTGAATTATATAATGTTGAGGAGCTATTTAGACTAGGGGTCTTGTTTTGAAACATTATTTATTTGTGCACCACTTGTATTGGTCTTACCGTGATGTTATATAGCCTATAGTCTTTCTCAATAAATGGGCTGTTTTTTTTCTTTTTCTTTTTATTGCTAAGATGTGTGGACGAGCTCACAGCCCACCTGATATTAAGTGGTTACTGGAGCCCATAGACATCTACAACGTAAATGCGCCACCCACCTAGAGATATAAGTTCTAAGGTCTCAGTATAGTTACAACGGCTGCCCCACCCTTCAAGCCGAAACGCATTACTGCTTCACGGCAGAAACAGGCGGGCGGTGGTACCTACCCGTGCGAACTCACAAGAGGTCCTTCCACCAGTAATCCTTCCATCAGTGTCTAATATTGAAAGAATTTTTCAAATCTAGAATGTAATTCTGAAGATTAGCGCGTTCAAACAAACAAACTCTTCAGCTTTATAATATTAAGTATAGATTTACTTACGTACTTTTTAATATTGTTTCAGGTAAAGGATAGAGTAGAGAAGACTTGCAATAATATGTGCTGTGAATTTTCAAGATGGACGACGAATGTAAATTCGGATGGTGATTTCAAAATTCAAACAAAACTTGACGTAAATTGTAATTTAAAACATTCTATAAAAAAAATGTGTTTTATTACGAAAGCGTGTAATAAACGATTGACGAGCAGATGCTGCAATACATTGTTCCTTTTGTTGAGGATATCGGGCTTTATGTCAGTTTTAGTGAAGCAATGGATGTTGTTTATCTTTTTTGTTAGTGTCAGTGCCAGTGTCAGTGCGTTTGGGGAGCAACGGTTCGCGCTAGAGCCTCAAGATCAGGTGAGACATTTTTTTCTTACATTTAAGGGTTTTTTTAACTATCGAAGTTGAACTTTAAGCTCTCCCGACCTTAATGAGTCCATAGATAACGTGAGGTCAGTATTAAAACTTATGAGAACTTTATCACTACAAATTACTCAATGTCTCAAGATTGTTTTGACGTGACAACGTCTTATAATTCGATGGAGCCGGCTGCACGCACGAAAAAACATGACTGTGCGGCGTTACCTCGCTCTGAGGCGTTCCATTTAAGGCTTGAAGTGCAAGCGAGAGCGCGCAACGAGCGATAAAGAGGCACAATCGGACTCCGCGTTCGGCAGCGTTCGACATCTGTCTCTCTCCTACTTGAGTAAGCGATGCATCCGCGTGGACAGCTGCTATACAATAATACATTTACATGTTTTAGTCAAGTATGAAGTTCAGTAAAAAGTGAATGTGGTATCAATTGTTTATAGCAACTATAATTGCGATAACTGAAAAATGAAACCATTCCATCAGTATTTTCTTATGACGTTGTCACGTTCAACTATCGTCAGTAAACCGACTTTACAGAAAACCGATTTTTTTTATTTAACACAACGCATCCTACTCCATACGATTTCTCTGGTGGTACGAATGGATGGCGACATTCACGTTGTGTGCGTACTTCAAGCAAGCAAGCACTTTAAGCTAGATGGGCTGTAAGTTCGTTCAGACATCCACGACATGAAATAAAATAAAATCCTTTTTAGTTTTTTGTATATCACACGAAGTCCCACTGGTACAATTAAATTAAGACGATATTGGACTTCATCACCAATCCACTGCGGACAGGAATGAATGGAGGGATATGGTCCGAACTAAAATTCTCTGTAAAGGTCACGACCCTCAAAACTGAGGAACAAGATATAACGAGGAGGAGGTTTTTTTTATTTTTATTTATTACTTATATGGGTGGACGAGCTCACAGCCCACCTGGTGTTAAGTGGTTATTGGAGCTCATATACATTTAGAACGCAAATGCGCCACCCACCTTGAGATATAAGTTCTAAGATCTCAGTATAGTTACAACGGCTGCCCCACCCTTCAAGCCGAAACGCATTAGTGCTTCACGGCAGAAATAGGCGGGGTGTTGGTACCTACCCGTGAGGACTCACATGAGGTCCTACCACCAGTACAAGGATATCAAACAAACTCTGATAAAAATCTTGTTCGTTTCTGCTACACATAACTGATCGGAAATCAAATACGCCTCTGAGTTCCACTTACCCGAATGCGTTACCAATAAACCACCGGGCAATCCTATTCATCCGGATTACAAACAAAACGCTTCGAATCAAATCAATACCGACTGTATTTTCTCTTGCTCTACTAATTAAAACAATGCAATTGCGATCCGCGATAAGTGCTTTATGCTTATACTGTTTTCGGGACGTATTTGTAAATTAATTTCGGATTTGTGTTTTATTATTATTTACTCCGGTGTCCACTTAACACCAGATGGGCCGTGATCTTGTCGATCAATCTTAGCAATAGTAAAAAACAAGATCACTGTTCCACCCCGTAATTTTCATGAAAAAATTCCGTCTAATATCCTACGTAAAATGTTTTCGGAAACAGAATTGAGACGTGTGTATTTCCGATGAGAACATTCAATAAAATATATTTTTATCAGTTTAGATATGCAGACTAGTTTATCTTCCACAAAGCGTTAGATTATGCCAAATATCAGTAAATAATATATTATGGATGTGTGATGTCTTAGCGCTAAATATTTCACCTAGTTGCATAGTGAAGACATTGTTTTCTTTGCAATTATGTTTCCCGCAACAGCGACTCTTTGCTGATGTGTAACGCTAATGTCTAGAATAAAACTGAACCGTGAAATTCACATTAAAACAAACGCTAACTGCATGTGGCGTCATTTCATCAAAACATTGCTAGTTGATAACTAATTTTGTAATTATAAGTCGCGTATGTTATTATAAACAAAAAAAAAACTAAGTTAAAGCTCATGCGAACCCTTATCTTGTCCATATTCTTGTACGCTTCTGAGACGTGGACCCCCAAGGCCCGTACCCGATCGAGAATTGAGGCATTTGAAATGTGGTGTTGGCGCAAAATGTTGGGCGTATAATGGACAGAGTGCCGAACAAATGTGTCAATTCTTGAGGAGCTAAACGTCAAGATCCGTCTATTTACGATCTGTATGCAGCGTCTCCTCAAGTACTTCGGACACGTGATCCGACGACATTCTGACAACTTGGAAAGACTAATAGTTGTAGGTCACGTGTAAGGAAAGACAAGTCGAGGAAGTTTGCCAACTAGGTGGACGGACATTGTCAAGGAGGCCACAAACACCAGCGTCCCGGACGCCATTAAGCAGGCCGAATGCGGGCAGCATTGGAGGAAGCTAGTGCAAAAACTAGACCAAGGTGGTCACGACCCTCAGTAATGAGGAAGCGACGTAGAAGAAGAAGAAGATGTTATTGTTAATATAATGTCGTACAATATTCAAATGTCGACGAATAACACTTTAGTCATTCGCGACCACGAATACTGTAAAGGTTTTTTTTTTAAAGCCTTGGAAGTTCTATAAGAAATAAATAACTAGAAATAAATCACGCACGGTTATCCGGCCCTAAATTGGGATTCCCTGTGTTTTGGGTATCAGAGACTGACATACATATGTACTTACATATATAATAAACAAGCAAACTTCATCATACGAATGTTTGGCCGTTGCGAAAATCGAACCCACGACCCTCAGCGCTAACTACCACACCACCGAGTCAGTCTAAATTGAAAAATCCGAGATTAATCCGCAAAAGTAGTTTTAATTTACGAGTTCCCGAAACCGAAGACAAAGTACATACCTCATTAATTTTAATTACTAAATAAAAAAAATAAAAAAACACGTGTAGCACTGGGAGACTGCCGCGGTAAAGCTATTGCATAGCATTTTTTATCAACTTATGCAATTATAAATCGACAATAATAATTTAATATTAAAACAACAATAAAATAAGACCACTCTATATTTATAAATATTAACAAAAGCAAAACATTAACTGTCCCCTTCACACTCATAACCTAGACCGCGCGAGGGAGAGATGGGCAGACTTTTCGTGATGTGTATGTGGCAGTGCGACGTCACGCCGCGCGCTTATTCACAAACACTACACAAGCGCAACGTGTGAATGTGTTGAACGCGAACTACATAGTAGGCGTAGTGGGGGTGTCAGGTTATTTTCGTTACGAAATTTCTGGATTCCACTCTCAAGCCGCGCTCAAGGCCCGCGATAAAATCTATGCAATAGCTTAAAAATATCATTGATATGACATCAAAATACTCGGCTAAGCTTTAATGGCCTAAAACAATAGGCAACTGAAAGGCTATTAATTATTATTTATTTGGACTACTCCGCTTTACAAACATAGGCAAATGTTGGGTAAAACCAAAGGTTCTCTGATTCCTCTCCTGACCGATCTGCATTAAATTAAATTCGTCGAGAATTTCATTGGCAAGCGTTATATTAATCAGTTTTGTGTATTATTCAAGCATTCTGAACGAGGGAACGTATAATCTCTGTTTTCCGACCACTGTACTTAAAAGTTACTTAATCATCAAATATGTCGGCTTAGGTGCAAGTAATTCCCAAAGCAGCCATGCTCGTCGGTTCAGCAGAGTTACGAACAACCATCCCAATTATTTATACAATTTGTTTTCACAATATCATAATATATAGAAGTGGAAAATGCTATAAATTTTTTTATACGTTTCAGTAAAAAGCACTTAAAAATTGACTAGGTACATTTTTAATCGACTTAAAAAAAGAGGAATGTTTTTGATTCGGCTCTATTTTTTGCTGCGTGTCAATTCAGAACCTTTTTATATGTTTACTAGCTGACCCGGCAGACTTTGTAGTGCCTCAATCGATAAATAAATTGTATAAAATAAACTTAAAACAAACAAAAGAAATCTGTCCGATAGGGGACACATCAAATGAAAAACAATATTGTTATTTTTATTTAATTCCGAGCATTTTCATATTTGTCTACCTTTTAAACCTTCTCTGGACTTCCACAAATAATTCAAGACCAAAATTAGCCAAATCGGTCCAGCCATTCTCGAGTTTTAGCGAGACTAACGAACAGCAATTCATTTTTTACATATATTCTTATAGATAGATATAGATTTGAAAACAGTGGTCCCATTTAAATTTTATTAAAATCTGGCCAGATTTTTTTAATTATCCATCATCATCATCTCAGACTATAGCTGTCCAGTGCTGAACACATACCTCTTCAATGGATCTCCAATGCGTCCAGTCCGTTGCCACCTACACCCAACGTGACTCAGTCTCACCTCCCGATCTACTGACGATGCTTTTAGATAACTCAAGCACCGGTTATCGTTCTCGTCGAACCCGTCACTTGCGACAAAGAGCTCGGCGAGTAAATTAACCCACAGACACAGCCCACTGAGTTTCTCGCCGGATCTTCTCAGTGGGTCGTGTTTCTGATCCGATGGTAGATTCTGCGAAGCACTGCTCTTGCTAGGGCTAGCGTTAGCAACGTCGTCAGGTTTAAGCTCAGTAAGCTCACCTGGCTGTTAGGTTACGCTGACATAGCCTCTCGCGGCAATGAGCTTTAGTAAAAAAATAGGATTCAGCGATTTTCACTAGGTCGTCGGTCCATCTGGTAGGTGGCGGTCCCACACTGCGCTTGCCAGTTATCCCTAATGATGCATATTTAATTGACCTCGACTACATTGATGATATACTCATTTTATTTTGTTGAAGAGGTTTTCTTTTTCGTACAAATTTAGTATTATAATTCATTGTACTGCGTCTCAACTTGTTTGGACCGTGAAAATAACGTAACATTATTTTTTTTCAGACTGCCATATTAGGTTCCAGAGTGATCCTTCCGTGCAGAGTTGAGGAGAAGGCTGGGCAGCTTCAGTGGACTAAGGATGACTTTGGACTCGGTACACACCGTCATCTGGCCGGATACGAGCGCTACAAAATGATTGGCAGCGACGAAGAAGGTGGGTTTTGACAGTACTGTGCGCTGATAAAATATTGCGTGGTGCTTGCAAGCTGTACCAAACAAAACCAAATGTATCTTTGGCTACTTTGGTCTCGGCCTTTTTACTGGTGATAGGACCACTTGTGAGTCCGCACGGGTAGTCACCACCAACCTGCCTATTTCTGCCGTGAAGTAGTAATGCGTTTCGGTTTGAAGGGTGGGGCAGCCGTTGCAACTATACTAAGACCTTAGAACTCATATCTCAAGGTGGGTGGCGCATTTACATTGCAGATGTCTATGGGCTCCGGTAACCACTTAAAATCAGATGGGCTGTGAGCTCGTCCATCCATCTAAGCTATAAAAAAAACGTATTCACCGAAGTTCCTATATTTTTAAAAAGGTTAGGCATCAGTGGACTATTTTTTTAAAATTACAATTCCTAGCAAAAGTCTTTCCCGAGCTAAGGACTTATCCTATGATTTGTGGTTGCCGTAAACTTACATGTACGAGACAAGAGCGGTCAAAACTCAAAAATTATCATTCATAGAGACACCGTCTCTGGCCGGTTGACGAACTTGAAATGCGTAGTACATTAGCCACGGTAACTAACTATTACGCGAATCGTAGATATATTATTGAACTAGCGACCCGCCCTCGCTTCGCTTCGGAAACATTAAATTTTATTATTGATAGCTGAGTCCAGCAATGTAACCCGCGGTTATTGTCGTACCGCGAGTGACGCCGCGAGGCGAAGCTAGTTTAAAAAAAGTAGCCTAAGTTACTCCTTATATCATCAGCTACCTGTCAGTGAAAGTCCCGTCAAAATCGGTCCAGCCGTTCCAGAGATTAGCCGGAACAAACAGACAGACTGACAAAAATTGTAAAAAATGTTATTTTGGTGTATGTACCGTATGCATGAATATGCATGTAGTAAAAACCGGTTATTTCAATATTACAAACAGACGCTCCAATTTTATTTATATGTATAGATATACAAATTTCGAAATGGGCACATGTCGCATATTTTGTCAAATACGTTTTTTCATGTACATGTAGTTTTGAGGCTTACCTACAGCCATTTTATAATAATTCCAGTAATTTTCAATTGCTAATTAAGTAACACTAAAATATATTATCTCAAAAGTTATTATTTTAAATTTTACACTGCTTTAGAAAATAATCAGTTTTTTTTTTTCATTTCCTGAACATTTTACATTTTCAGAGATGTGCCCTTTTCCAAATTGCATATTCAATTAAAAACAAATTTACTATTTAATCTCTCGTTTATGATTATCATTATATTATTATATCCGATGCTTCGAATACTATATTTCGATTTTTGGAAGTAGTTTAACCTTTTTAGCGCGAACCGTCTATAGATCGATTCTCTATTAATACGTATAAAGTGCGAAGCGTCGGAATACCGACTATCATGCAATTTGATTATAGGTGTCGACCTGTACGGACGTATGTATAACGTTTTTAATTGAGAAATAACATTAATAAATTCAATTTATTTCATTTCTAATTATTTTACTGTCAATTGAGCATTAATTTTTTGTATTTTTTTAAGTTCAAGTTTTTTATAAGGTAGCTTTTTTCAAAAAATCCTTTTGGCAATTTATGTAAAATATGTAAAAATAAACTCAGCACTAAAAGGGTTAAATTAGTTTGAATTATGTTAATAGGATGTTATTTTGAAGAGGTTTGTAAATTTGTGAAGAAGCGCTTCGCACCACCGCTCAACAAATGATCACGATTGACTTCCACGGTGAAGGAATAACATCGTGTAATAAAAATCAAACCCGCAAAATTATAATTTGCGTAATTACTGGTGGTAGGACCTCATGTGAGTCCGCACGGGTAGGTACCACCACCGCGCCTATTTCTGCCGTGAAGCAGTAATACGTTTCGGCTTGAAGGATGGGGCATTCGTTGTAACTATACTGAGACCTTACCACTTATATCTCAAGGTGGGTGGCGTATTTACGTTGTAAATGTCTATGAGCTCCAGTAACCACTTAACGCCAGGTGGGCTGTGAGCTCGTCCACCTATCTAAGCAATAAATAAAAAAAAAACCACGCGAATCAATGATCTGTTCGAATATTATTCTTATAAATCCCGCGTTTAAATAGCATAGGGAGAGTCTTTGCGAGTCCGCAGCAAAACCGCAGACTATTTAAGTCTACTTGCGTCGCTGCATTCCGAGGGGAACGATGATCTGTCGATATTTTTAGTATGACTAGCATCTGACATAGGGACTTTGTTTGGTTTCGAGAATTTTCTGAGCAGACAGCAGTTTTTTTTTATTGCCCTTGTAGGCAGACGAGCATACGGCCCACCTGATGGTGAGTGGTTACCCTCGCCCATGGACTTCAGCAATGCCAGGGCAGAGCCAAGCCGCTGCCTATCGCTTAATACTCTCCAGCAGCCTCGGTTGAAGAAGGACATGTCATAGCGCTCGGGAAACACCGTGGAGGGGAGCTCATTCCATAGCCGGATGGTACGTGGCAAAAAAGACCTCTGGAAACGCACGATGGTAAAAACGATGGTAAAAACGAGATGTCGGTATCATCGATTATTACGATTAGATATTACGATTTATATATTCGTATAGATAAAATGAAGCAACCTCTAATCAAATCTCTGGAAACGAACCTGAGAAAATACGATTTCTATGATATTAATTTTTTGCTCATCATCCATTACTGATCTTGTTATAGGCGACTACTCGTTGGACATCAGAGAAGTTACGCTGGATGACGACGCAGCATATCAATGCCAAGTTAGCTCTGGACCGAGGGGTAAGTTCTTAATATTATAACAAAAATTTGGCGCATTATAAATAAGCGATATCAAAGTTACACTTTATTCTGCTTTTTGTCTTTCCGCTCATATCCACCAATTGCCGAAAGAGATAGTGCGATGCAATATTACCAAGTTATTACATGTTGATTCACGATTTCCTTTTCAAGGCGTGATTGATAGGCCATAGTGCTATAGTTGATAAATAAAAACCCAACATCATCCTATTTAATTATAAACTGTGAATTTAATATTTATAAGTCGAAGCCCAAAATTATCTTGGCTTAAGGGATAATATGCCTAGTGAATTCAAAGTCAGTGATCCGCGTATAGCGGTTTCGAATTCCGCAGCCAGGTGTACATACCTATTAGTTGTTGAATGGCTACTATCACATCATGAAGACTCTGCATCTAGACACATGGAGTTGAAATATCAAATGTATTGTACCACGACTGCTTCACCCTTCAAATTGGGACACTTGAGTGTTTCGCTGCAGAAAGATACAGAATGACGATACTTAATCATGTGACCTCAGAATACGCCCTACATCCAGTTTATTTTCGGTCCTGGGCTATGAGAAGCTGATTGGGAAACATGTAAATATACACATATAGATATTAAATAGCCAAAAAAAGACCATATAAACGTATTCGTCATGCGAATTACTCCCCAAAGTGGAAATCGCGGCCGCCGAATTAATTACCAGAAATTAGCGTACATATTTTTTTTTTATTGCTTAGATAGGTGGACGAGCTCACAGCCCACCTGGTGTTAAGTGGTTACTGGAGCCCATAGACATCCACAACGTAAATGAGCGACCCATCTTGAAATATAAGTTCTAAGGTCTCCAGTAAGTTACAACGGCTGCCCCACCCTTCAAACCGAAACGCATTATTGCTACACGGCAGAAATAGGCAGGGTGGTGGTACCCACCCGCGCGGACTCACAAGAGGTCCTGCCACCAGTAATTACGCAAATTATAATTTTGCGGGTTTCATTTTTATTACACGATGTTACTCCTTCACCGTGGAAATCAATCGTGAACATTTGTTGAGTACGTATTTCATTAGAAAAATTGGTACCCGCCTGAGATTCGAACACCGGTACATCGCTCAACACGAATGCACCGGACGTCTTATCTGTTAGGCCACGACGACTTCAAATATAATATATAATTATGTTAAAGCACAATTTATCATTGATTGTCGCCAGATTCAGGTCCACTAAGTCCATCAACAAAGCCCCCAAGATAACACTGTTTTCTTGAAATACAAACGTCAAAGCCAATTTCGTTCGCAATATTGCATTTCCAGTATTGTTGTGTGGCACAACGCGTCTAATCTAAACATATTCCATGCCTTTGAGTAAAGGCTTTGTGCTCCGTAGTATAGACAGGTCTATGACTGCAAAAGCTTCTGATCGAGGATCGAATGTGGCATCTTTAGTTTTTGTCATTGAAGGCAGACGGTCACTCTAATGGGCTGTGGACGTTCTGGTATGTATTAAGGCAGTATAAATTCCAATTAGTATTACTTAAATCAATAATTGGGCTCGTTCACAGTGGATTTCTAGAGATCTTTTTACCACTAGGGTTTAGAATGATCTACTTTCAATGGTGTTTTGGAGTGCCATGGAATTGTCTTGGTAACAATTCTAAGTGCTAGGTAGCGGCTCAGCTGTGCCGTTGGCATTGCTGTTTCCTATGAGCTTTGGTGACCACTTTCAATTAGGCAACTCCTATTTGCATAATTTTAAAGATCCTCCTCGCGTCGTTTTCCTCATTACTGAGGGTCTTGACTCCCCTGCTCCATCAGTTTCTCTCGTACGATTACCCTCCATCCGCTGCGATCCTTAGCTTCATGAAGGGCATTGTGGAAGTTAATGTTCATAGAAGATCGTATTTGGTCCGACCATCTCGTGGGACTGCGTCCTCTGGGACGTTTGCCACCTACCTTGCCTATTTTAAAGATAATGATCCAAAAAAAAATTAGTAAAAAGTGCATGTCACATCCATAGTTTTTCATTTCCTACTCCAGGTTCCGTCAATGGCGCATCCTTTATTTTACCTGGTATCGAAGACGTTCGATTGAGAAATGTGGCTTATTCCTTGTATGGAACAACTTTAATCCGCCTCCAGTGTAACCACTAATGCAATGTTCCAGTCTTTTAATGAAATAATTCTTTCTAAAATAGAAAAAAACTGATGAGTTTCTTTAAGAAAAAAATAATGAAGTCCGTCTTTTTGTTAAGAATTATCGACAGTCATAATGTGTTCATAATTATTATCTTATTGAATAATAATAACTTATTAGGATTTTTCCTTTGAAAATATTTTAGCAGTAATGAGATACCGTCTCATAATTAATTTTATTATTATTTGGAGACATTTATTTGCTTCTATATTCTTTATAGCATTGAATTTAGGAAAAAAAAAGAAGATAGATAAAAAATATGTTATTTATTACTATGAATATTTAAACAACGGAACAGATCATAATAATATGATGTTTAGTGTTCTCTGGAGTCAACCTAATGGAAAGCCGCTACGCATCACGAGATCAGTCTCTAATTGTATTGAAGAAAATAGCACCCTTCACATCGGAATGCATTACCGCTTCTGCCATGCCATGAGCTCACAATTGACTCTCTCTTCAATCGGTCCGGTCCCTTATTACTGAGGATCGTGACTCCGTCCGATACCGTCAACCAGCTGTCTCCATCGATCCCGTTCTGTAGCTTGGTGGAGTGCGTCGCTGACAGGTATTTTCAATTCCTCCGCTATTTGGGATTGTTTGGGATCTCTACCCCTAGGCCTTTTCCCCTCGATTTTACCGGTCACCACAAGGCATTCCAAGTTGCTGGTATCCCTGCGTGCAATATGACCAAAATACCGCAATATTCTTTGTAGGCTGGTTGTGGATAAACGTTGAGTCTTTTCTATTTTTAGCTGCTTGAGAACAGAGATGTTGGTGCGGCGGGCCGTCCATGGTATTCGTGGCATACGTCGCCAGCACCACAATTAACTCAATTACCATTAAAATATAACTGAATGTACATGTCGGCGTTAACCCAGGGTTTTCACACATAAGTTCTTTTACAATGAAAATACAATACAATTCTATAAAACTTTAACATTAGTTGTTTATAACGAAAAGTCACGTCTTGGTTCTTACACAATTAGCCGTTTTTGTGATGGTTATAGCAACTACAACTTCTTTTGTACAAATAAATGTAATTACTGCGAAACAATTCACAATCTAAGGCTTAATATTCACAATGTACACCTTTTAGTGATTTTTACATGACTCTGACATTAATTTATTTTACATAAATTACTTTTAACTTATATAAACTAACATTGCTATTATGTAGCCTATTAATAATTGGCGCCAACATCATTTGCATAACAATTACAATACTTAATTAATTTCTCACTGTTAATTTAATATAAATTATTATTAATATATATGCTTTATCCATATTCAATTATTTATACAGTCATTTGTGTTTTTAAACAATAATATAAACAATAATCATATTCTGAACATTTTCACATCAAAACAGTGTCTGTTAAGTTTTTTTTTATTTTTTTATTGCTTTGATGGATGGACGAGCTCACAGCCCACCTGGTGTTAAGTGGTTACTGGAGCCCATAGACATCTACAACGTAAATGCGCCACCCACCTCGAGATATAAGTTCTAAGGTCTCAGTATAGTTACAACGGCTACCCCACCCTTCGAGCCGAAACGCATTACTGCTTCACGGCGGAAACAGACAGGGCGGTGGTACCCACCCGCGCGGACTCACAAGAGGTCCTACCACAAGTGATGAAAAGTATTAAATAATATAGTAGATCTTGCTAATCTATACTATAAGTATATATAAAAATGAATTGCTGTTCGTTAGTCTCGCTAAAACTCGAGAACGGCTGGACCGATTTGGCTAATTTTTTTCTTGCATTATTTGTGAAAATCCAGAGAAGGTTTAAAAGGTAGATAAATATGAAAATGCCCGGAATTAAATAAAAATAACAATGTTGTTTTTCCTTTGATGTGTCCCCCGTCGGACGGATTCCTTTTGTTTGTTTTAATTTTATCTTATACTAATGTTTAGGTCTTTTATTAATCGATTGAGGCACTACGAAGTCGGCCGGGTCAGCTAGTAATAAATAAATATTAACATAGAATGAACTAAACTATATATTATTATGTTAATTATTGCCAATAGTGGCATTTGCGCCTATATATACTATCGTATCCGTGATTAGATCTCTAGTGGGTTCACGGTAGATAGGTATCAAATATTTCATTACGAACTTACTCTAATTAAGTTCGCTCGGCAAAGCTCTCTTTTGTTTCCTTTGCGGGCATATCACTCTGTTTATATCGTGTTTCTAGTCGCAGGGGTGTCGCACGAAAATAAATGCAGCGTTTATTTTAAGCTGTCACATGTGTGCGGGAGGTGTCTTTGATGAAGGGAGTCGGTTAGGGTTGTCAGTTAGAAATATGTAAGTGATAATTGTATTTTTTTTGCATGAGTGACTTAGAGAGCTCTCGAATAAGCTATCGAAGGCCATATATATCACAATTTCAAAATAATATAGCAACCTTCCCGTCTTTCGTTCCCTCCCTTCCCAAAAATTGCTTCGATACTTTTATTTTAATAAAAAAAATGTTTATCATAAATTTGTACTGTGACTATGGTATGTCGAGATTATTACATACGTATATTTTTGTTATAGTACAATGATTGATTTGATAGGGTGGCCTCATTCCTAGGCTCGATATTAGTCTTCCACCATTTAAATTGTGGTTTGGACTTCAATGGTACAGCGACTTAAATATTTCACAAAATTGACCACAGACAACCCTACACGGCGACCCTTAATTACATCTCAAATAAGATCCTCTCCCTATGACACGCTCAATTCAGAAGAAATATACCGTTAAACAACCGAAACATTTGGCGTCACTGTGGACGCTTATCATTTCTACATC